CAGCAGTCCCGGCGAACCAAAACACACTGCATGGCAACCCCCTAGCATCAGCACCACACAGAAAGCCATGCGAGCGATCCACATGCCCAACGATCCGACAGCCCAGATTTAATCTCGTAAGCGTGAACCATTCAAATGTGTTCTCTCTTTAAACGCGATCAAACAATCAGATTTAATCCAATTGTGTGGACCAGATTCATTATTCGAATATGATAGATCCAACGGACGAGGGACGGTCACGCATACCCGAATGGACGACCCAGATTGACATGGGATGAGTATTTAAACATCGCGTCGCAGGAGAACCTAACCCTAGCCACTTATCCCTTGTTGGAGAAGAAGAACTAAACACCAGAGAAGGAGACCGATTCCTGGCCACCGCGGCACTAGAGCCACCGTCAACTGCCAAAAAAGGTAAAATTTTTCTATTCATGTTCGAAATTCAATTCTAAGTCTCCCTATGGCTATATCGGAGCAAAAGAGACAACGAGTGAGCCGAAAGCTGCGGGCAAAGTCCGACGAAGTCGCTGAGGCTAAAATCCTAAACCCTCTCCCATGACCACCTTTTCGATTTTCGTTTCACACAATTTTTTGATCATTGTATTTACTGTCCTTTTTTATACAGATTAGCCGAAGAAGAAATCCCAGCCGCAAAGGAAAATCGGCAGAGCTAGTAGGTTCGGTTTCTTTTGATTTTCTTGCCAACCAAGACCCCTTAACATATTTTTTCGTAGGAATACATGTAAAACCTTTTAAAATTGACTAAAATCGGCCAAAACTGGCCAGGCCGAGGTGAACCACTGCCATGGGCACCGAAGCCGGTGATGTTACCGTGCCGGAACCCTAAAATTGGCCGGAAAGGATTTTCAACACTGATTTTAGATTTTTGAGGTATTTTTAGGTATATAACAAGTATTTTTATTCTCGTAGAAAAAGTTTAGGAAACTCAAGACCTGTTAGGATGCGTAGTAGATAGTACGATATTTCGAAATACCGATTCGGGTAAGGATCCCTTACTTTATTATATGTTACAGTAAATTGAAAATTAATAAACGATAATTGTGTGTTTTCTGAAAATTAAAAAAATCTCAAAAATAATTACAGATCACTAGTGAAGCCGGAACTAGTTAGTTCATATTTGTTCTGATTCCCTATTGATTTTTCTATACTGCTTAAATGGCTTACTATTATATTGTGCGTATTACATTGATAGTTTTTATGGTCTTCTCGATTATTTGGTTCATTTGGTTCCTCATACATTGTTTATTTGGTTATTTGGTTACTTGGTTATTCGATTATGTTACACTATATCGCTTGTTTAAATGTCGTTTAAATTAATCGATGAATATAAAATGAGACGTTGGTATGCTTTGATGGTTGTTTGGATGATAAGAATCTAAATAAATGAAAGCTCACTGAGCATCTTGAAAAATGATGGACGAACCTAGTATATAAAAAATCCTACCGTAGACATTACCTTAGTCGAATAAGGCTGAAAAGTCTCATACCAGAAGAGTTTTAGGAGCTATGGTTCACCTTCATATCAAACGGGGTATCGAGGTGATGGTGTTTTTGGCGTCCATTATCAGACGGGGTATAGAGACGACCGAGTTAATTGTCAAATCTTGATACTGGATCTACGAGTAGATGGATATCCCTATGGATCTTTAGGGGTTCTAGTAAGTAGGTTAAATGAAAAATTACTGATCTTATTCACGAAAATAAACGTCACTTGGTTATTTGTCTTCATAGGTTGATTTCAAAAAAACTTATAACGGTAAGTATGAAATAAAACGTTTTAGAGTTAAATATATTTACTTAAATCAAGGGCTTCATTAGTTTTTTTTATTATTTTTACTAACTTTCGATTTTCCGTATCAGTTATTAGTGTGATATTCTTACTGGGTTAGTATAGTTCACCCTTTTATTAATCATTTCAGAATAAAAAAATCAAGATCTAGATTTCGATCAGTAAGAGGGTTGTGAGTAATTCACCTCCCGGACTCTCTTCAAGTGTTAGTGAAGGTTAATCCCTAGAATATCTATTTATTTATTTTTAATTACTGTTTGTTTTTTTTATAAACAAGTGTAGAAGAGACATTTTCGTAACATCATTAGACATTTTAATTTATTGTGTAAGGAATGTAAACTCTGATATTATTGTTTGCTTCCGCATTAAAAATAACAGATTCATTTCTTTTAAGGTTTCGAACTTTTTACAAAAAATTATATTCTAATCTTTTTAAAGCATCCAAAAAATGTCTAACTACTTTAAAAAATAAAAAATTTAATTGATTTTTTTGAACATTTTCTTTAGAAAATATAAGTAAATGTAAGAGTAGTTTTATGAATTCTTATAATATTTACTGATCTTTTTTACTAAAAGTCACGTATCCTTTATATATCATTTTTAGTTTTCATTCACCGTAATTTTATATAATTTAAACAGTATCCAATAATTGGTTTTTTAAAATGAGTATTAGTTTATTAATATTAGAGTATATAAATTTATATACACAATAAAAATTTTCTCCAAGAATCTAAAATCAAATCAATCCCGTTAACTTATTATATTATCAATTACACTAATAATTTATCCCGGTATTTATAAATTGTGTTTAAAATAAAATGTGTATTACTATTATTCATCACAATCTCATTGTTCTTGCATTTATGGAACGTTTATCATTTTTAATCAACTAATGGTAGAAGTCCTTCTATAATATTATCATAAAATATTTAATAAGAACATATCTAAAATAGACTATGATAATTCTAGTTCGTTTATATTTAGTTAATAATAATTTCTCATTCATTGCTAATAATTATTTAATTATATAACACTATAACTATTTATCATATAATCATGTTTACATTCAATTATTATATACATTTTTATATAAATTCAATAAATATAATAAGATTATAATGAGTTATTACTGATTATAAACACCAAAAATTGTAATGTTATCTCAATTCTATATAATGTTTCATTTATGGTCTACTAAATTCCAATTCGTTACATTCAATAAAGCAAAAATGTATTTATATTTTTTGTCATTCATAAATATTTCAAATTCTAATTTATTCCCACTATTTTATTTAATAAAAAATTATTTTCTCAAAATTACATTTCCTTGTTTATTAGCATGGTGAAAGTTGTTTTTTTTTAGGCATTGAATAAAGAAACTTTCAAGTTACTAAAATTAAATTATTAATTCATATGAGTATGATAAGCACCTTTAAAGTTTTATTTCTAGGCATAGTCCCAAAACTCGATTGACAAAAATATGCAACATTTTGGATTAATAACGTGACAAGATTTGACTTAATCTCTTGAAAACTCTATTTAATAAGTGAACTATATTATAATACACTAAATCAGGAAGTGTTTATTTATCCAAACAATTAAATAGTGTCATGTATTATCATATTGATGCTAAGTCGAACACATCATTTTATATGTGTTGAGATAAAATTATTTACTTAAGATGTTACTCAATAAGTGAGTATTTTAAAATATCACCACAATATTAATTAAGTACTAATAGAACAAAAAATTTTATTCATATAAAATTATATTAGTGTAAAAAAATAATTCATATTCATAAAAA